CAGGTGAAAACTTAAGCTCATGTCACAGTTCGGTGAGGGACAAAATACACATTATTTCTGGATTTAAATAAGGTGAATCGTGCAGAACAAATTAAGAACACTAATAGTCAAATTACACTTTCATTTGGCCTTTTTTTGACTTGTGGTCTAAATAGCAAAACAGTTAACAGACTCCTATATGGCCAAAAGTTCATGGCTTTAATCCACCAAGTCTGGGCGTGAACAGCGTGAGGCCAATATTCAGGCCTCTTGCAAGTTAATTTTTGATCATAAACCAAACAGAGGATCAGATTAAATAAGTCACGGATTCAGATTTCTCGAAGCTGACGGATCAGCTTGGTACCCCAAGTAGCCTTACGTGAACGAATGATGATAGCACTAACGATTTAGCAAACACCGATGAGGAAGTGCAAATGTACCTGTGACTAAGGACGGCATCCGACCCGCCGGCTAATCGAATCGATTTGTGGTTATGAGGTGACGGAATTCCTCTACGTCTTTAACTACACGTCAAAATCATCACTTATGCAAATTTGTTCAATGCCAGTATTCTAGATAGCTGTAGCCAGCCAGTGCTTCACGAACAGTGGAGAGACAGTCAGCGCCGGTTTTTTGCATAAATGATTTGTTCAGCCAAGTACTACAACAACATCACGTATGTATGTGTGTATGTAAATGCAAGCAAGTATGCATGTGTGTATTTAGGCACACATACACGCATACACGTGCAAATGCGTTTGCGTGTGCACAAGTGAGAATGTCTGAATTACGAGAGCCAGGAACACCAGCAAATCCAGAACACTGTTGTCGACCAGGTTCAAAGTCACAGTTTGAAATCAATTTCAGCTCACTTTGCGTAATGGCTTATGGCCTCAGGTCAAAATTCAGGCTGATGCCAGAAGCGCCACAGCGATTATGATAAAGCTACAGATGTGATGTTTTTAGAGGTTATTTTAGCAAAATAGTGCAGAAGGTGGGGATGAATTGAAAGACCAAAATCGGCTTTCAGATTTCACTGGTGTGTGTGTGTGTGCGTGTGTGTGTGCTTGTGCGTGTGTGTGTGTGTGTGTGTCTGTGTGTGTGAATGTGATATGTATTTGGACGACGTATGTGTATGGTATATACGTATAAAATGTTTCATGTTTGCTTATGTGTGTTTGCGTATATGAGTTTGTCCGGATAATCAGCTGCAGACTGCGAACGTAAGAAACCCAGATTTTTCAGGCATCGTCCCCGAATTTGCACGGAATCACAAGCGTGATCTCTTTTTGTGTCTTGACCTTTGATCAAAGATCCAAAGTTAAACTACTGTTGAATAGCGAACTACTCAAGGATGCTAGAGTTGGTAATTTCAGCTTTTTTTGACCGAAGCAGTTTTATTTTTCACTGTGATCTAATATATGACTGCAGGTCAGT